AAAAGCATAAACCTTTTTTATTTAACCTTAATAACTAAGTTCTAAAACTAATTTAAGTATACCTAAGTAATTTTGAGTCTTAAAATTTCAGCTAAATCGGTTCAGCGATTATTGATTCCCCATACAAACTTTCGCCCCCATTTTCACCCTTTAAAAGGGTGATTTCTGATAGATAAAAACTATCTTATATACCACATATCATCTAAATGGGTTCAGCGGTTTAAGCGTGAAGAAGTAACAGATAGCAAGAAAGACTGACACACTTTCACATTTATTTTGTATTAATAAAAAACACTTCTTGGGTTGTTTTAGTTATAGAGATATACACACTAGTACATAATATAGTCTAATGAACACACATATACACAAATTGTTTATGTACAATAAATGAATACACATATACATTATAAATACACATGGCGTTTGCATATTCATAACAATGGTAAACAACAGATAGAACGTGATTTATGCTGAGAATAGCTAGGTAGTGTGTGTAGGTCAAGTAATGACTGCACGGATGGCGTAGTGGTTTAAGCGGTCGCCACGCCACTTACCACTACGCTGAATGTTGTGACGACACTTTGTTTGATCCACAAATTGTTGTTCTGAGTCTGGGTGTTCTTTTTGTCCGTTTCGTGTATGTTTGTAAAGGCCCCCGCGACACAGGATATATATTCCTAATGCGGGAGTTATCTTATTCGACCATTTTCTTAAAGATAAAATTTTGGCACGATTATTGAATATCGGCAGAACATTACCTAAACGGACAGTCTGCACTGAATTATCGTAAAACTTGATACAGTGAGTTGGTACTGCCAGTTCTAGAGATTCAGACGATCTCAAGGATGTTTAATGTGTGTCATTGAGGAAAAATAAATACATCTGATGGTCAGACCGCCTGTTGATTCTCTGGTTTTAGTCCGTGAAATTTTTTTTTTTTTTTTTTTGATCATACTTAACTTATCTTAGGCAGCGACTAAAGTTTTTAACACAATCGTAATATCTTTATGTGTAGAAAATCATACAATATGAATCATACAATCATAAGAATAAAATAACAATACTATAGATTTACGCCAGTGTAACTTAGTCTAATTATTGTCTAAGATCTACGAGTATGTTAAACTGAAATGGCCTACACTGTAATATTTATATTGGTCAAATAAATTATTATTATTATATTATTATTATCCATTATTCTTTGGAGGGTTGGATGACCACCGCCAAAACCAGAAAAGAGCGGAATTCTTTGGAGGAGGCTTTTACCCTGAGGGGGTCCACAAATTAAACGCGCATGGTTAAATAATTATTACTATTTCAATTATCCTATTATAAAATAATTCAATTTTACCAACTAATAATTAGCAACCCATAATTGTAATTTATTTTATGTGGAATAAATGAAGCTATTTTATTATTATTATTATCTTATTGCTCCGAATCACTTTTTCAAACTAGGGTCGTCTTTAAGTCTATTACGACACGTCTGAAATTCGATTGTTACGCTGAGCGACCTCCACAACCCAAGCACTAGGCGATATCGAAGTTCTGTAAAAATACTGTTGTCAGACTTTTCAGGGTTTCAACTATCCGTAACTATTGCCACAGATGTACGTATGGCAAACGGGGCCGACGGCTTAACGTGCTCTCTGAGGCACGGAGGGGTCTTAATGTGTTAAAAATGATCAACCATCTATAAACTGTCCTGGCTAGGATAACTTAATTTTGTATTATGTTAACTTTCTCGGTTACCACTTAGCCACGAGCCTCTCAATTATACTTTGCATATATGTTACTTTAATTATGTTTACGGAAGTTTTACTTTTTACGGCATAGGAACGAGCATACAAGTAACCTAATACTAAGGGTAAGTGTAAGTAAGTGACTACATCCGTCTATGGTAGTTTAAATTCAAATTAGCTTTATGTTGCTTCTAGCAAAGTTTACAATAAAGTTTGCTATTTAATTTACTCTGTTTAATTAAAATAGATTTGAAGGTTTCCGACTGTATATTGCCTGTTTTCAAAGCTTTGTTTCTCTATGTCAACTGTTCTAAATGAACGTCGTTTTAGTCTTAGAAGATTAATTAAAATTGATATGAAACTTATAAACTTATTTACTTGTACTTTCAAATGTACTGGAATAAGTCTACTCTGAGTCATTAATCTCCAAAGAACCTAGACTTATTCATTAAAATATTTTCTGAAAATTGGAGGAGTTATTATAAATGAATCTGCTTTGATGTAGAATAAATTGATAGCATTGGTTCAAAGTTATCTTTATTGCCTACTGAACAAAGTCTTCACTAAGATATATAGCAATGTCAAAGGAGGAAGTTTTGCTTTTGCCAGCGAAATCAAGAGATCTGGAACTAGTTTTACTAGAATGCCCATCTGAACTACGAGTACACTAGTGATTCATTTAAATAATCAACTTTTGGAAACCCCAAGTATAGTCAGTATTGTGTATTGACAAGGATTGGATTTACTGGTACTCGATCCTGGCATACTCGAGATATTGCTTATGGCTAAACCCATTCGTATAGGCAATATCTCTTTCCCACCATTGCTTTCCTCTCTTACCAGATTTTTTTATACACTGAACTTTCAATTTTCCTGTCCAATTCCTGAAGTATCCGGTAAGTATAGTAGGAATAATTCGTCAATTTCACGAATCTGTTATAATGAATTTTTAAAATGAAGAAATTAATTATTTTGACGTGACTTGAGGTGGGTTGTCACCCATAAAAAAATGTATTTCAAGATATAGGTGTTGTCATCATCATCAACAGCCTCTAAAAGAGTACTGCATGACATACACTTCTGCTGGACACTTCTTAGAAATTAGGTTTTGGCCTACTACACGCTGACTAAACGGTTTTGTACAGGGTTTGTTTCAAGTTCTCCTTCTCTTTGCAGTGCTGTAGTCCTATAGACTTTGCTCCCTTAGTCAGCTCTTATGACACCTACGGGATGTACAGAAGTAGTGACGGCGTGTATTCTTAATCCGATTTTATTTAATTTGAAAAAAAAAAATACAGAAAAAAAAATCATCCGAAAACGCTGTCTCTGATATAGGTATCTAAATGTAAATAATGTGGTATAAGTTTTTATTTAATTCTAATAATTTTGTATCTTTATTGTTTTTGGCAGACATTTAAAAAATCTGTGCATTTTATCATGTCAGCCCTCTCTCTTATCAAATATTAAATACACGGGAGAGTGTTCAAAGTTTTCACAATACATTTTCTGTATTAGTAATCATTAATTTTCCAACAATCTTTCCGTAATTTATGAAGTCTTCTAATCCCAATATTTTGTACACAAAATATACGACTCCTAAGATACAGGTTTCTTACCTAGTTTAGGAGTCTGTCGTAACTGACCGGTACTTGTGATCATATTACTACTTAAGCTCTGTTGTACCTGTTCATATTATGTATTATGTTTCAGTGCTTAAGCTAAGTGTAAATGTAAAAATTGAAGTAAATAAAGATTATTATTATTATTATACACACTCTGAAGCACCACATCTAATTAATCATTCTTTTTCTGCATTTAATAAGTTACATTATACATTCATTATAAATCCATTTTTTTAAATAGTTTAACCGACTTCCTATAATATTAACAACGATGAGTACTAAAAACCTAGGAGCAATCGCGGTTGATTTGCTTTAACTTCTTAAAAGTTCTTTTGTCTGTCTCCGAAACTCATCATCAGATCTATATGAAATTTAAATAGGATCATTTCAGAATAACCTTTTTCAAACAAAAAAAAAAGAATTTTAAAATCCGTCCATGTATGACAGTGTTATGCCCGAACATACATTAAAAAATATATAAAATTCCGAATTGATAACCTCCTCCCTTTTGAAGTCCGTTAAAAAAACCCATGAATATACATACCTACAATTATCAATTGTGCTTACTAATGCAAAACAAATTTAAATAATTATACTTGAAATTAATTAGTCATTTAAATAAGGAAAATATGTAGTAGATACATTGAAAATATTTTCTCTTACCTATAATACATTTTCCTTTGAAAAACATAGGGAACAAACAGTTTCGAATTTAAGACACGTAAATATAAGTGTATAGTTTTTCCTTCTTTACTTAGTTTGTATATAAATGTTTGAGATAGCCGTTTGTGTACACTCTCATGTAAACAGTTATAACAGAAGGTTCATTGTTTGTCGAATAATATATTTCTATTAAACTTGATATGCGACTATGAAGCAGTGAACACGCGATTACTGCAGCTATCATATAAGTAAATCACTTGAGATAAAATTGTTTAAATAGTGTAAAACAATTTAAAAGTGCGAATCAAATGTACATTATATTTTCTTTTGGATTGTGGGATCTTGTATTTTTTGTTAATTTCATTTGTTTTAATTATGTTCTGTGAAAGTTGACGTGTTCTGTACAACTAATATTTTGTGAAACTACTGAATGCAAGTGTTGATATACAACAGCAAGAGTTTAAATAGTAAGGTTTGTTTTTTTTTTAACTTGTTTAATTTTTTAATTTCGGCATTGATTTCTAATTTTTCTAAACTAAGCTCATTCGTAATTTTCAGTTTCTATTTTAAAATGTGAAATATTATTTCTTCAATATAAGCATGTACCTTTTAGGCTACTTTTTTGGGAGTTAAGGATAAAAAAACGTGTGATTTTAGCTGATAGGATTCGAAAATCAATCTTATTACTAGATACGTTAAGGCCATGGGCGGTGGAGATTTCCACACGAAAAAATATATCTCTAAGTTTCTCTATGCAAAAAGTTTAAGAGCAGTTATTGTAAACAATATAGTCACGTAAATCTATATATATAAAAGAAAGTCGTGTTAGTTACACTATTTATAACTCAAGAACGGCTTTACCGATATGGCTGAAAATTGGTGAGGAGGTAGCTTAGAGCCAGGAGACGGACATAGGATACTATTTATTCCGAAACAAAAAAAAAAGTTTGCACGAACTTTGCTTTACTTGGAGATGCCACGTTATTATACTTGGAATGCTTCATCGAAGAATTTTCAAAGACGGAAGCAAGGCGATGCGGTGCCCGGGTATCCGGATGTGCGTTCTACTGATGCTCTTGGTCGTATGTATACAGTTCATCCAAAGAATGATGAATGTTTCTATTTGCGGTTGTTGCTGGTAAATGTGCGTGGGCCCACGTCATTTGAGACACTACGGACTGTTAATGGTGTAATATTCCCAACATATCGTGCTGCATGTGAAGAACTGAACTTATTAGAAAACGATACCCATTGGGATACGACAATCGCTGCAGCCATTATCTCTGCATCTCCAAGTCAGGTACGCACATTATTAGGTATCATAATTTCGACATGCTTTCCATCAAACCCATGTAACCTGTGGCACAAATATAAAGATAATATGTCAGAAGATTATAGATATTTTACATCAAATTCGTATCACTTCCAGAAATCACGATGTTGAGATGAATGAGGAGATACATAATCGTGCTTTACTCTTGATCGAAGATATGTGTTACCTCATGTGCGGTACTTTATTAATCAAGTTAGGAATGCCAGCGCCTAATCGTGAAATGAGTGACGCATTTAATCGAGAATTGGAACGGGGATGTGAATATGATTACCAGGAATTAGATTTAGTAGTTCAAACGAATGTACCCCTGTTGAATTCCCAACAAAAGGAAGTTTATGATACTTCAATGAAGGCAATCAATGATGGAAATGGTGGTTTATATTTCGTAGATGCCCCTGGTGGAACAGGTAAGACATTCCTCATGTCAGTAGTTTTAACCACTGTTCGTGCGATATCCAACATAGAGGTTGCAGTTGCTTCTTCTGGAATAGCAGCCATATTGTTAGAAGGATGCCGTACGGCTCATTCAGCATTAAAATTACCGTTAAATCTTCAAACTATTGAAGATCCAACGTGTAATATTACGAAAAATTCAGCAATGGCCAAAGTTTTATCGGCATCGAAAATCATCATCTGGGACGAATGCACAACGGCGCATAAACGTGTATTAGAAGCACTTAACCGAACATTAAAAGACTTACGGAATGACTCGAGATGTTTTGGAGGAGCAATGATTTTACTGTCTGGCGATTTTCGCCAAACACTGCCAGTAATTCCAAGATCTACGGCTGCCGACGAAATAAACACTTCCCTCAAATCGTCGAATCTATGGCGCTATGGAAGAAACTGCAGCTGACAACAAGCATGAGAGTTGCATTGCTTAATGATACATCTGCTGAAAATTTCTCTGAGCAATTGCTGACTATCGGTAATGGTCAAGTACCTGTCGATGAATCAAGCGGATTGATATCATTTCCAAATAATTTCTGTAATTTTGTCTCATCAAAAGACGAACTTATCAACAATGTATTTCCAGACATTATTTGTAAATACAAAAATAATGAATGGTTGAGTGAGCGAGCAATTTTAGCGGCTAAGAATAAAGATGTAGACGACCTGAACTATATAATTCAAAATAGGATCATTTGAACAATGCATTCATTCAAATCTATTGACAGCGTCACAAATGAAGATGAAGCCTAACTATCCAATTGAATTTTTAAACTCCTTGGATGTGCCTGGCTTACCACCGCACAATTTACGCCTAAAGGTTGGCTCCATAGTAATCATGCTTCGAAACATAAACCAACCAAAATTGTGCAACGGTACGCGTTTGGTGGTTAGAAAATTGATGAACAATGTAATTTACGCGACGATATTGAAAGGAAAATTCAAAGGTGAGGAAGTTCTCATTCCGAGGATCCCGATGATCCCAACCGATTTGCCGTTTGAATTTAAAAGACTTCAATTTTCGATTCGTCTTGCAGTCCTGTGTCGCGGGGGACTTTACAAACATACATGAAACGGACACAAAGAACACCCAGACTCAGAACAACAATTTGTGGATCACACAAAGTGTCGTCCCATGTGGGGTTTGAACCCACAACACTCGGCGTAGTAGGAAGCGGCGTGCGCGCTTAAACCACTCCGCCATCCGTGCAGTGCAATTATATGTGGCATGTTCACGAGTCGGAAGACCATCTGCGTTGTTTGTTTTTGCGCCTGATAAGAAAACAAAAAATGTCGTGTATCACAAGGTACTTAAGTGAAGAGCAACCTATGTACTGAAATGCAGAAACAAAAATAAATGATTAATATACTTCATTTCTTTTCTTAGAAAAAAATTTACTTACTAAATTCGAAAATCGGCTTATTTATTGCCTTTAAGGCGGAACAGAGTTCGCCGGGTCAGCTAGTAAGATACATAGATAAAGTAAATAGCAATATAAATTACATATATATACGAGTATATAGTCGAATCCATTCATGACATTCCTGTGTTATATTTACAATGCAGTTTATTTATATATTCATCTAAATCGTTATTAGTCCACGTTCTATGAATATTATAAATCAGTATAAGTGTATTATATCTTAAATAGCCTTAAATAGTCCACTGATAGACACAGGTTGGACTATAAAACGTTGGCCAGACGGGTTGGTATAGAATTTGTATCAAGTTTTCCTTTACTTTGCAGTGCTGTTGTCCTGCGTATTTTGCTCACTTCGTCGGCACTTACGACACCCATTGGGTGAATAGGGGTGGTGACACTTCGTATTCTTAATTCGTCACCACACGGGTGGTGTATTACATATTTATATTTTTTATTGTGTTGTATTACACATTTCGTACATCCGTAACTAAATGAGTGCTAACTTAGAATCAAATTGTGAAAACGTTGTCATTTTTTGTCGTTCGTATTGTTTAAATAATCGTTCAGGTCGTTAACTGAACTAGAACCGTGTTGTTTGTACGATAGAGGTCATGTTTCCTTTTAATGTATTGAAATTCAATAAAATACCGCATTTACTAAAACAGATTTCACAAGTACAGTAGTTATTTACATAGTTTTTCATCTTTGTGTCTTACTTCTCTTCCAGATCTTCACGAAAATTATAAGAATAGGACGACGCATTTTATTTTCCGGTTTATTTCACGGTGAATGTTTGATACAACGTTTAATTCTAACTTCTCACATTTCTTAAATTCTTCAAAACAACTGTGACTGAAATTCTCACTGTTCTTCCCAAAAAAATGAATTTATTTATTTATTTAAACTTAGTCTAATTTCTCTGTTTTTCACTTTTTTTAAATTTTTTATTTACTTCTTTTTCATTTTTTTATCATTTTACGTATAGCATTTAGATATGTACCTCTACTTTAGTACCTACGTTTTTCTTTGTACGGTATACAATTTGACGGATGCTGAATAACGTTTGATAATACCTGGTTCAGTCATTGTCACACACTGTCATAATAACTTGAAAATGTTTAACTGCAATATAATGTTTTGGTGTTATTTTTAAGAATATTGTCATATTATTTAATTACAACGAGTGTTATAAGATATTTTTGATTGCAACAACAACAAAAATCCGTATCGCTCTTTGTTGTGCAAAAAAAAAATCAAAATTACCTATATCGAATTTACAAATTTTGAAAACGCAAACGTCAAAAATAGGTAGAATAAAATCGGGGGGATAAAAGGTTATTTTATATTATTTAATTATATACAAAACACAAACTACCGAAGCTAATTGCAGATTACCACGACGCTTTAACCTATAAAACTAAATGCCAATGCTACAAATTACAAAAGCCAAAAGACGTGCAGGCAGTCTCTTAATATTTATGACGTCAGAACCTATCTTTGTATTGACTACTATTTTCTAAATAGTTTACACAACCATCTTAAAGTACCCAATAAGATACATTCGTCACATTTAACTATTCTACAGTACAATATGTACACAATGTACACATATACATGTAAATGGACATATTTACCAATATACTCATATGAACGCGATTGTGAGCTTTATCTAGGTTTATCCCGCCGTATTGCACAGATCGTCACTCCACTTGACTTTAGGGTATCCTGTATATAAAAAGTTCCTACATCTATATCTATAAAAGAAGAAACTGAAAGACTGATTCACTAACTGACAGCTGAAACCACAAAATTTTATGACTAACGATTGGGTTAAGTGTAAAAAACAAACACATATTATTCGCGTTTATCTCGATAGTATGTATGTAATGTATGTAAGGTTATACTCATTTTATCCTAATAATTAATATTTGAAATAATTATTATTTCAATCCTTAACTATTTAATGATTATGTTGTTTACACGTTCATTTTTATTACTGTTAAAAATAAATTCTAAAGATTATTAGGTTTTTGCTTACAATTGACTCGCATCATTAAATTATGAAGTGATTGTTCGCCGAAGCAGAGATCATGCGAAACTTATGCAAAAAGTAAAGATCCATAATATATATAAAAATAATTAACCATTGTATTGTGTTACCGTGTAGTATGCGTCACAAAAGAATCAGGAATATTTTCAGTGTATTTTCAATTTGTACACGTTTTCTTAGTGTTACAATATTATTTTAACACTAACATAAAGACATTGAACGTTTATTATTTCAAGTCGAAGTGATGGCCACAATATCGATTTATATTCAGATCTTGTAATAAGTTCATTAGTCATATCCTAAATAAACAACTAATATGACGAAATATATATGACGAGGGTACACATATAAAAGTAATTAAAGGTTGACGCTTCAAGTCCAATCGATCATTCCAAAAGCAAAACAAACCCAGAACCTTAGTTACGTCGCTTAGTTACGTATATATTTTGCTGCATGATATTTATTTAATGAATTGTATGCGACCCTGACGTAGTCCGTGTGGTCGCCCTGAGTGTGGCCGCGGGTAGACGGGACGGGTTTTCCCCTCCACCCGCCATAATGGCCAGCCACAAGGAGGCTACGTCCGCGTGTGCCGGACTTCGCCTAGCGGGCAGGCGCTAGGAGGGATCCGGATGTCTTAATAACAGCAGTTCCCGGATCCTTCCTATTACAGGCGCAGAGTGGCACACCGTGTGGTTTTAGTCGGTCCGATTAAGACACACCACCCTGCCCCAAACCCCGGTGGGGTGACGGCCAGAGGGGGTTTCCACACGTAAAACAAAAAAAAAAGTCCGTGTGGATTAAGGACGGACGGATTAAGATTACGGAGTGTCATCACCTCTATTATTCACGGGTGGTGTCTTAGGAGCCGACTATGGGAACTACGCAGGATAACAGCACTGCAAAGAGAAGGAAACTTGAAACAAACCCTACACCAACCCGTCTGGCCAGCTATAGTAGGCCAAAACCTCCTTTCTTAGAAGAGGCCTATGTCCAGAAGTTAACCTTTGCTACACATTGCGCCCAAATGTTTTATAAAATTAATGTCGTATTTTGTAATGTACCTTGTATCCGTGTATGTTTTATGTATCTAGTGTAGCATATATAAATGGTTTAAAGTATAGCTCTCTCACGTGATCTTGATATTTAATAGACCACTCTACCCAATGCCTTTGTGCTACAGGCGTTGCTCTCTGTGTTGTATTCATACCTTGTAGTAATTTCAAATGTATTCTAGACCTGATTAAGGTGATCGATTGACGGAGGAGAAGGTCCATGAAAGTTTTGTCTTCAACTATTTATTGTATGTACTTATATAAAAATATATAAGTATGTAAAATGTATCATCGATGGTAAAAACCACTATAATTGCAAATATAATATTATCTACTGCTAATTCCATAGAAACGTGAAGATGATCATACATTATTGGAACTGAAATCACGACTAGTTCCTATCGCGTGACTACACGCTGACATTGTGGTTAGAAAATAGGTATTGTGTATGTGTAATCTACATTATCATGCATTTCTGTATCCATACTTTAGTGGTTTTTACCTGACTGAATACATAGATAAAGTCACGAAGGACTAAGCAATGTCTATTGTTATGTGTAAGCCTGTTTATGTCTTTTTATCTATCATTGTTAGGGTTCCGTATCTGTGAGGAAAAAACAGTACCCTTATAGCATCTTATTTTCTTTGGTGTCCGTCTGTCTGACCTGTCCCTTTATCTCGGGAACGCGTGGAAGTCTACAGCCCCTTGCAGCTGTGCAAAAATTAAACTTTTAAGTTAGAGTAAAAAAAGATAATACCGTTTCATATTTCGACACTCAAGGGAATCAACATTTAGAGGGTACTTCCCGTTGACCTAGAACTATTAAATTCGGCAAGTAATATCGTCTTATACTACAAATACAGATAAAAGTTGAAA